CCTTGCTCAGCCAGTGAGCGGGAACCGGTCTGTATGTGGGATCCGAACCCTCGGCGGGAGCGCCGCCGCGCTTCCCAAGCGGCGCACTATAGCAGTGCGCCACCGGGCTGGCCCAAAATCTTGGTTTTTTTCTTAAAGATCATTTACATATGTCTTATGGCCTTGTGTTTAGATACACTTTCTGTTTATTTATTTATTTTTTTAATGCACTCCTTTTTTGCTTTTAATTATGGAAAAGATATCTACTTTACAAAAAAGTTGCAAATAATAAACTTTAGGCCTGCAAAAAGTGGTTGCCAACCATACCATTAAAATGTTTCTAATCACATAATACATGATAGTTAATCACAGGTTTGATTTTTATAGTTTTAACAGCAATCTCACTGTTGTATTAACTTCATCTGACAACAACATACTAGATATACCAGGTTCCTTACAGTTCTTCCTACCCCTTGCCCAGCCCAAATTATGTTGAAGTAAAAAAAATAAAAACAGCACAATACTTCGGTTATTTTTTAAAAATAAGTCCATGCAATACAGTTTTAAACAAATCTTAAATTTTAAGGAAAAAAATGTTAAACTTTTTTTACTACTTATTTTTTCTTTTGTGGAAGTGTTTCCTGAAAGTTCCACAACCAGTTATAATGTTAAATAAACCAAAACACACAGTTATACTTCAGATTTAAGCATCTCTCCCAATTCAGTAGTATCAAAAGAAAAGACAACACGTGGGATTTTTATTCTTAGTAGACGAAAAATAGAAATTCCTCTCAAACTATCTGAAGCAAGCAGCTGTAAAGGAACCCATTCCACCTTCCTGACTCAGTCCCACTGCCAACTCTCTCATGACATTTTCCACTGCAGCTTCTGGAACACTCGTCTGATTATAAATGAGGTCTCCTGCACCCTGAATCTCTAACTCTGCCAGACAGGAAACCCCTCCCCTTTTCTAGGAAACATGCAGCCCTGGGGAGTGAAAGCTAATCATTCCTCCAGACTTTGTTTCCCTGCCACTCTTAGGCAAATCCTGTCTCCCAGCTTTGAAGCACAGAACCAACAACAGCATATCCATGCATCCAACACATTTGTATTTAGTATCTGCTATGTGTCGGGCACTGTGCTAGATATAGATTATGGGACAGTAAATCCTCCTAGAGGTTACAATCTAGTGAGACAAACGTGAAACAAATAATCACACAAATTATTGCCAAATATGAAGGAAAAGAAGAGGAAGCTATATGAAAGAATGAGTAGGATTTAGTGAGGCGAAAAGTGGGGGAAAGAGCATTCCAAGATGAGAAAAGGAAGGAAGAAATAAGCTTGGTTTTCAAGAAAACCAAGTGCAAATAGATGTGGTGGGTGGGGAGGAGAACAGAAGGAGAGGAGGTGACAGGGTGGGCAGGCCCAGATTGTGCAGGCCTCGAGGGCCATGTTGAGGAGTTCAGGTTTTATTCTAAGTGCAATCAGAAAGTGTGATAGTTTTAAAAGTTCATTCCTCATCACTGTCATCTGTCTACTCATCTGCTCACAATGAACCAGGATACTTTTTCTTCTGCTTTACCCCAATACCTAACCCATCCTAGACAGCTTCACTGTCCAAAGCTTCTTAGTAACTCAGCACCCTGGACTCCTGGGACCTCCATCTCCACCCTTTGCAGGCTTCTCTTCACTTTTTCATTGTCCAAAACTACTCCACCTCTGACAATCAAATTCCAATATTTCATTCTTGGACCATAACCTCTCACCAATCCCACTTTCCCACTCCCTAACACCTATCATGCCCATCGTCTGACCTTTAAATTTTTTTTATTTTATCTGATTAGAAAAAAAATCAAAAGTAATAAAATCTCATTAGAATAAGTGAAACAAAATAAAATTACACAGAGGAAAAGATACTATTTCCCCATCTCTACCTTTCTCCATGCACACACCAACATATGTGGACTTATATACACAAATAGAATTTTAATTACAAAAAATGAAACATACTGAACACATAATTTTGACTTTTTTCACCTAAAAAGAAAAATCTCAAATAAATTACAAGCCAGCAGATATAGATCAAATTCATTCTTTAAATTGCTGCACATTTTTCCAACCACATACCCTGCTTGTGGCTCACCTGCAAAGAGGACTTCACTTGCTGTCTGTCTGCTACAGATCTCCCGACCCCAGAAAACCCTGAAGGGGGCTCTCTAATGAATCACTTCCAATCTTTGTAGTTGGGAAAGTACTGCTGCTTGTGACTGAAAAAGTCTGGGAGCAGAACAATTCCTCATAGAAACTCAGCAGATGGTAACAGTCTCACAGGTCCATGGGAATGGCTTCAGAGCCATCACATATTTCACCATTTGGTTTGCTACTGCCCAAGAGAAATGCATGACAGGTTGCTGGCAAGTGTTGAGAAAACCACAGCCATGAGTAGGCAGGGAAAATTAACTCACTTCTGGGGCTCAGAAGGAAAGGCAGGACAGAAATAAGAGAAACCTACTTAAGTAGAACCAATGGAAGAGGCAGAAGAGAATTTCAATAAGAAAATGTAACGGAATTAATTACACAACTAAAAAAAAAAGACTTTCAAAACTGAAACACACAATTTCTTAATTAAAAATTCAACACTCAACAGAAAAATAGAATGACTACCCTTGGAAACCACATTACTGGTCAAAAAAATCAGGTGAAAGAAACACCTCACAAGAAACCCAGTGACAGATGCCCTGAGAGAAGTCCAAGTCACCTGGAGGTCAGATCCCGGAGACCAAACGAGTAGGAGAAAAGGAATATGTGGAGAAGTAATAAAAACACAGATAATGGAAGAAAACTTTTATAGTTTAAGAAAAGCTTTAGGCTCTGAATATCAAGGATAAAGGGAAAATCTTACAAACGTTTTTAGTACTGTGGGGAAATGGGCTTGTTGGGATGGTGGAAAGCTGGAAGCAGAAACACTACTCAGGGACACAAGGACTTTGACTCTGGGGCCTCGCTGGCGCTAAGTTTGGATGTTCACACATCAGAAGAGCCCAATGTGTGTGCTTCATGCTCCACAAATAATTAAGCACAGAGATTGTTAAAGTTCTTCTAGGATCTGCCAACTTCTTTTGTCATGCTCCTATAGCTTTGTACAAACCTTAGGGACTCTGGTAGTCTTTCCTTCCTATCTAAAACATTGCAGGAACCAATTTTTATATGCCACAGACAACAAATTATTTTGATGAAAATTAAAGATTAAAAACATGAAAAAGACAAAAAGTTTGTGGATGAGATACACTGCTGTTAAAAGAAACTACTACCTTTATTTATGAAAAGGTTACAGAGGTAGTATGGTCAAAGTTAAGAGCAGAAATTCTGGATGCCTGTCACTTACTAGCTGTGTCACCTTGTTTCCATGTCTTAGTTTCCTGAAAAACAAATGAGTTAATCCATGTATCACACTTAGAACTTTGTCTGTTCTAAGTACATACCAAGTGCTCAATCAATAATAAATAATAGCAATGCTGCTGCTGGGTGCTGCTGCTGATGCAATGGGAAGACAGCACGGTACACAGAACTTTAATTTTGGAGTCAGAAGACTTAAGCTCATATGCCGACTTTAAAAACTTGAGCTTTATAATGCAGCCATGGTAGTTAATCCCTCTATGCTTACATTTTTAATATCTAAAACATGAATATGAATACCTCCCTCTTTCAAATTTCATCTATCTATCCACAAACATCAACTGAGTACCTACTATATATCATGTATTGTATAGGGGCTGAGATACAAATATGAATAAGGTACAGTTCTGCCTTTAAGGAGCTCACAAGTTAGTGAGCATAACTCAAGAGGCTTAGTATTCTTTCCTGTGAGCATTTCTTAATGCTCCCTTTGCCTTAGGAGATGAAGAAAGGGCCGTAAGTGTTAATAATGTTTTTTCAGTACTGCAGTACTATGAAAAAAAAAAAAAAGGCAACACTAATCTTGTCAGCAATTATTGGACAAAAAAAGTGTGGCCAATTTGTGACGTTCTATATTTTGTATATTTTGCTATTTTAAGGAAAATACTATGAAGCAATTGGGACACCAGGAAGTAATCCCCTGTGGACAATATGACAGTCTAAGCAGTGAGCTGACCAATGGAGAACAGGCCCCCTTTTCTGATCAGAAAAGAGAATAAAACACCTTGGAGAGATTGCTCTGTTCATAGGCTGGGACTGTGTAGTACACAGCCTACCTATTTGAATGATCTTTTAAGACGTGAGTGTTCCTTTGAATAAAGAGCTTTCAAGTCATTGTCCAAGAACAGTCGATATTATTGATCCCTTGTAAATTCATCCATTCCCTTTTAGAGTATCCTACCTTGGCATATAGGGTGGGAGATTACAGGGAACAAGTTCCTGGTCAACTTGGACAACTTCCCTGCAATAATAAAGACCTATCCTAAAGCTTCTTGATATTGAGTGCTTATTTTGATCATCCCATGTGAGTTGGCCATGGGAACGGTGGGACAAGTTGTTCCCTTTTAATCTTTTAATTAACCCAGGGGCTTTAGAATGTGTATATAATATCAGATAATCACTAACATTAACTGAACAAGAGACTATGAATTCATACGACAGCCTGATTGTCTATTCTTTATAATGAAACAATGCTTGCCAACATGTTTTCATCTGCCACATCAGTTGGTATTCAATAGCTATGACTTAAAATTTTATATATAAAACCTAAGAGAAATTATAACAGCAACTGAGCATATACTTGAAGCAATATTAAGTATATTGAGACATGTGGTACCTTTAGAAAGTACATAATTATACGATTATTAAAAATTAAAATCAGGAATATTTTTATTATATTTATACACATTACAATATAAAACAATTACATACATTATTTAAAATCGTATTTGGCCTAGATTTATTACAAATTCACTTGAATGGTGGCTACAGACATCACAAAGAATGATTCTGACTTCTCTATGTGGGAGAAGAATATTCTAAAAACCAACTTAAAAAAGAATTAAATCAGAGCAAAATGAGAATTATCCAGGAAAAAGGAATACTAACAGCTATATTGTTTTAAAGTTTCAATTAGATAATAAATTATGTTTCAAAAATCTTTATATAAAAATTCTAGCACTACCACCCATAAATCATAAGGTAAAACAAACGGTAGTGTATTCATTTATTTTTTTACCTAATCGTTTTTTAGACTCACAGTACAAACCTACTGCTTATAGAAAATAAATTTGACAATTTATCCAAACATTGTTACATAAGAAGTTTTAAGAAACTGTAAATAATTCTTAATACTCTCATTTTGGTTCTCCGACTTCTCAAGACTATGTTGTATTTCTTTCAAACACACTTCCTGATGTTGTGCTTTCTAAATAAAAAAAAAAAAAAGATAGTCAATAATTGCACTTATATCAAAGGATAAAAGTCATAACATAAAATGTATATATAATAACTGAAAATACATTTTTCATATTTTAAAAGAATCTTCACATCTGAAGTGTTCATTATTAAATTATATTAGATACCACTTTTCTTTAAAATTAATAATTAAAGTACACACATGGTTGATCTCTACTGTGTTATAGTTTCTTATAACACACATTCACTTAGCCCCGAATTATTACATTTTTAACATGATTAACTTAATAAATGGGTTTTATTTAAAACCATCACAGTTTCCATTACATTTAACATGACATATTTTCATACTAGTTTTTGCCATTTTCTCTGCCTGCACATTTATATTTTATATCATAAAATATAAAACTTACTATTTTAAAAATTGATAGAATTCTAGTTTTGATAATGTGAACATTTTATTTCTAGATTCCTTTAAAAAATAAAAAGAACTTTTAATATTGTAGATGTTCAAGGAGGAAAAAATTTTTTAAATCAATACTTTTTTTTTTAACTTGCATATAAATTCTTAAGTAGTTGCATATAAATTCCTAAGTAGATCTGTTCACTGAAAATGCTTTAGATAAAGACAGGCTACAAATAACATCCAGCTTCCAACTGAAATGTAGGCCCTTGAGAAGCGAGATCTTTTATGTCCTTCATATCAGGTGTTCAATGATACCTGATACCTCCTGAAACTGAGCAACGCCTGTCCGAGGAGTGGGGTGGTATGAAGCAACATGCTAGACTGGGCTACACAAAGTCGCAGAATGAATACAGTCAATCTTTACGGAGCATCAATTTTACTCAACAATTTGGAGAGAAAAATAGTAACACATACACTTGTACTGTAGGGTAAAACATAAAATGTGAATTGATGATAGGATAATACATAAGACTTTAAAGACATTTCAGGCTGCAGGAGGGTAGCCTTGGGTAAGTCTGCTGAGGTCACCCTGGGTCTGTGCATCAACTCCATCCCCCACTAGGGTACTTGGGCAGAAAATAAGAAAAGGCCTACAGGGTGGTCAGGGCCCCGTGGAAGATACCAGGGATAAAGGCAACAGTGAGACAGGCTCTCAGGATGCTTAAAATTCAATGGGGCTACAGCATATATATAAAATAAATACCAAACTGCCCTCTGAACACAACACATAAACTCATTTTTCAACAATGTCTAAATCTATGCTTAGAATTCTAGATTTTTACTAGTGCAAAAATAATCAGGTTTAACAAAACATCAGATCTTAAAACTTGTTTATTTTAATAGCTCTAGCCAACTACTTGGAACATTCTAAGTGAACTCACCTGATCTTAGTTTACCTTAACTTATTTTTCCAGAGGCTTCAATCACACAAAGAACACTACACATATTTTATAATATCAGAAACTCTGATGGTGACTAAAAAAAAGTTTAGAAATATAGGGAAGGCCTGTGCTAAAGGTGATAAATATTTTGTTCTGATTAAACTATCATGAAAATTTTGATGGCAATAAAATTAAATAGTGCATGCCAAAAACAATATTTTGAACTTTTTAGGTTTTCAACTTGTGAATGAAAAAATAATTTTTATAGAGTATGTAGCTCCCAGAAAAAATAAAGTGTCATTATTCTCTATGTCATTGTTAAGTAGATAGTTGTTATGTAATTTAATCACGACTAATGCTAGCTTTCAGAGTATCTTATGCCAATTGACTATTTCATGAATATTCAGGAAAAAATATGAGAAGACTAATTAAACACAGCCTATTTGGTATTCTCTTTTCATAGCTGAGTGGACCAAAGTATCCATCTCATATGCAGATATAACAATACTGTATATTTAATAGCAAATTATATCTTTCTAGGAAATATTCATGATTCAAGACAGATACAAAAATCTAACTCATAATAATAGTTTAAATTGTATTTATCTTTAAAAAATGAAAAATTCATACCAGAAAGAAAATAAGTAGATCATGTCTGTAACTTTCATTAAGCAGCTGTCATGCAAAAGTAAAATGCAGCAAAAGAGCCTGATGAGACTTGGGGGCAATGCCAAAGATGCTACCAAGGAGGCAGGATAATAAATTCTTTGACATGATCCTGACATTTTTATGTTTTATATTGTTATTTTTAATGTCGGTTAAAGCATGAGCCTTAATTCCTCTCACTCTGTACATCAACTATTTAACTAAACCACACGGTAAGAATGTTAAATGCTAATGTATTTTTTATGATAAGACATCAACTCATATTAATACTTACACTGTTCATTTTGCAAACAAGCTGATTTTGTTCTTCATTTTTCTTTCTAAGCTCCGTTTCCAGATCTAATATTTTAATTTGTAAAGCCCTCTCTCTAGATGACATTTTTTCTATTTCTTCAGAAACCTGTAATTTTTATTAACAGAGTAAAATAACTAAATGTGCTTTCTTTAAAATATGATGTATAGCTTGGACACAGTTATACTGTACCCATTTCTTCCAAACAGATATTAAGTAATAAATTAGACAATTTAATTAGGAAATGTTTAAAGATGTTCTATCTTGAAGAAGCATAGATAGAATAAGTATGTGTACTTATCTTTGCAGCATTAAATATATGCAAAATTAGCTTGAGATTGAAGAGGTGTATACATTCTCTCTGCTCTGTGACTTAAGTAGGTGTTTACCCCAACAGTATATTTTTAAAACGTACTGAAAATGCCATTTTTTATAATATTTATATTCACCATGGTATCTAGAGTGGTGGTGGAATATAGAATGTTCTCATTAAATGCTGATTATACATATGGATATACAGAATGGGGGGGGCAATGTACATACACACACACACACAAGTGATTTTTTTTCCATTCATTCACTTCCAAAGTGGTCCAAATTTGAATTTTCATATTTCTCTTAATGCTTATTTTAGCAGAAAGTCTAGCTTAGCAGTATTCATCCAATGATTCAGATATGTGGGAACCTACTTGTAAGAATGTTGGGATGGAGCCACAAGAACGAGAGTAGAGGCAGGGAGTGGTCCAGGAGCAAGGAGTTAGTGGAAAGGACTGTCCTCTAACCTAACTACTATGGACTCAAAGTTATTATAAAGTGATTTACAAAGATATCTTCTGCATAAATTCCAAGGGTGATTGTGTGCGAGGGATGCTACCAGGATCTGAAGCTATGGGAGAAAGACCCTCAGGACAAACATCCATGCCCTTCACAGTGTCCCCTCAGTGTGGGCAATGGTGACAGAATTGATGGTACCCCTCACATGAGCAGAAACTAGAGATGGCCTTCTATTTCACTGCAGCAGGAGAGAAAGGAATAGGCAGACATACCTCTGGGGACTCTGAACATTTTGGGGAAGGAATCTGAGAATACCTGTCATTTCCAAAGCCTACTTAGGCAGCACCCAAGATAAAGTCACTTCTAATTTTCCCCCTGAAGACTGGTGGCACTGAGAAATCTGTATTGCATTTCTACCATTGGCAGTACATTTTATTATTTTGCTTTTATTCAATGATGTCTCACTCAAAATCAATTTAAATTGGTTTCCCAGAGTTTAAAAATATCAAAATATGAGTATATATGTGACACTTGTGATATAAGAGCCATATTTCAATATCAAATTTTTATCTGACTTTTACAGAATCGCCATTAATGGGTTTGAGGAAGATCATGGACAGAAGACAGTCTAATCGGAAAGATTCAGTATTTGGTTTTGGACATATTAAGTTTGAGATGCTTATGTTAAGTGGAGATACCAAGTAAGTAGCAAAATATTTGAATTTGGATTTCACTGGGGAGAGAGGTCTGGGTAGAGATATATATCTGAGAGCCACTATTTAGCATCACTAAATCCTATGAGGAAACTCATCATCCCCATTTTACTGATGAAGAAGCTAAAATTAAGAGAAATAATCTGCTCTGGGTCAGAGCACAATGTGTCAGAGCCAGAATTCAAATCCACTTCCTGTTGGACTCCAAAGCCCACCTTATATCCTTTCAAGATTAGATCTTCAAATTGTTTGATAAATTTACCTCTTTGAGATCTTCCTGAATCATTTCCTCTCACCTCCAGATTGAAATAACTACTCTTACCAGCGTACCTTGAACCCATCCTTCATTACAGCACCTACCTGCTGGATGACACTTGTCTGTTTGCATGTTACTCCCTACCAGACTGTATCCTGAGAGCTGCAGCCAGGACTTATTTGTCTTTGCATCTCAAGCACTAGCAGAGTGACTGATGCACATGGAGGTATTCACTGAATGCTAACCTAGCGGATTTAACTCGAATTTAGTTCCTACATGTATGTATTTATTCAACAATATTTGTCTAAAGGGACTTTATCTTCACAGCATTCCAGATCCTAATCAAAACCAAAATTTCAATTATTTGCACATTCAATTTGGTTTTATATATATATATGGGGGGGGGGGGGGGCGGTGACCTCTTCAAAGTGTTTCCACCTCT